AATAAGAGAGAAAAATAATTAACGCCGTTTGTACGGATTTAACGGAAGGATTTCATTGATGCAAATTTTATTAAGTGAGGACGTAATTGACGCATTTTTTAAAGGATGGACTAATTTGACATTTTCGAGCGAAACTGGGGACAAAATAGGGTATTCAGCCATGATCTTAAAGTCAAAGTGGAGAACCTGGTGCAACTACACTGTGACAATAAGTCTGCTATGAGCATAGCCCATAACCCAGTACAGCATGACAGAACCAAACACATTGAAATTGACAAACATTTCATCAAAGATAATCTTGACAGAGGCTTTGTGATTACAACTCATGTTCCTACAGAACTTCAAATAGCAGATATTTTTACAAAAAGGCTTCCTCCAAGTAGATTTCAAGATCTTGTAGGCAAGTTGGGAATGATTGATATTCATTTACCAACTTGAGGGGGAGTGTTGTAATTTGAGATAATATCTTTAGAATCTTCCTACTTAGAGGAAATAGATACATAATCTTTTATTTTATTTTATTTTTCCTATTTTTCCTAGTTTCCCTATTTCCCTTTTTAGGAGAACTAGATTATTACAAATAGAGGGTATGAGAATGTATTTTTCATGATTGAGAATAATAAAATAAGTCTTATTTTCTACTGTAAGCTTTCAAATGGAAATAAGGTTATGAGATAGTTTTGGAACATAAAGAACATCTTTAAGGTTAAGGAATGGCAAAAGAGAAACATTTCCATGTCCATTTATTGGGATATGGCTCCCATTGGCAATAACAATGTGGTTATCAAAAAGAGAAACACATGATGTTAAAAGAGATGAATGAGGGGTCATATGATATGTTGAACCAGAGTCTACAACCCAAGAGTCCTTACATAAAGTCTTAGAAACATTAAAAGAAGAATTAGAGTTCTTAACAATCGTGGTTGTTAGAATACTTACCCTATTTATTATCATTATATTGTGTCTAGGATCACTCTATTTATCATGTACTTTGTATCAAACTTTCATACATATAGAATGAGAGTGAGAGGGATCTTTCAAGCCCTCGAGAATTACTTTACAGTTTCAATCTCAAGTTCGTATCAGAGCAAATACTAGAAGGTGGTTTACATATACACTCCATAAGAGATTTTAGATGTTCAATCTCGACACATAGTGCAGGCATTCCTTCCTCATGTGAAGAGGAAGAAAGTGTTTTTCCAGGATTTTCAAAATCTAAAGATGCCTGATAAGCTTTCATTGAGGGTTGTCCTTTTAATTCAGCTAGACGATTGAGAACTTTCTCCTTTCCATGTAGCTTGAAGCAATTGTCCTGTCACATGGAATAAGTAGTTGCAAGGTCCTCCCAACTTAGTAGAACATATAGTTTCTACTTATTTTTGTAGTCATGGATCCTGATAACCATGTAATGATTCATGAATCATCATTATCCCAAATCTGAAAATTAGGGTCATATGGGGAAATGGCCTTTCCTTCAATATGATTGAGTCTACCCGTACCCTTTAACATTCGTCTAAATAATTGATCCCATTGGAGATAATTCCTACCATTAAGGCAATTGTCATTAGGCAAGTGCAGAAGATCAACATTGCTTAGTGGAGTTGTAATGCCAAGAATAAATCATAAGAATTCCTTAGCCCTCACGTAAATGAAAATGAAAGGTAAGACAGAAACTCTATTGGTGGCAGCAGCACGATGGTAGCGGTGATGCAGCAGTGATGATGACAGAAACTTCAGGCAACCCTATAATTAAAAGAAATGGCAGCAGTTCAGGCAACACTACTACTGGCAACCCAGTTTCCCTTAATATAATGGAGAGGATGAATCGTCAATCTACTGCTAGCAAACACATCATGTGGCTTTTCCCCTGGATTTAATTTTCCTTTCTTATCAAGGTAAATTTTGCTTAAATATGTAGGCAAAGCATCATCCTGTACATTGTTGATCCATACAAGTCATTCAGAACTTCTAAAGGCTTGGATTTGATTACTGTAAGACCAGTGTTCAAAACAATAAAGCATAACCAAGCAAAGAAATTAAAGCAGCAATGCTGCATTTTATATTACACATGGTGGAAAATACACATTTCAGTAAATATTTTCAATGTTGTCACGAATGTCATAATGGTGCTACGTGCTCCTAGAGAGATATGTGTAGTTAAGGAAAGAAATAAGTATCACTTACGGTTGACTCATGCCGAATATGACGTGGACACTTGAAAAGTTTCTTAAAATCCTCCTGTTACATAAAAGAGGTAATTGTTAGATGAAGCATGCACAACTACCATAAATACGTACTACTGAGAAGGAACAAACCAAAATCTTTTGAAACCTTAATATGAAAAAGTAAAATATTGCCCCGTCCAATTAGGATTTTCAGAAACTTTGAACATGCACTAATTAAAACTATAACCTCATACTATTTAAACATTTCTAGTACCATGTTGATTCTGAAAATGTAAATACAGTCGTGAATGATGATAATTGGGACATTTAAGGAGTTATGGGACAAGCTTATAATGGAGTTTCCAAAACCATGTAACCTTGCATTATATTTTTCAAAAGTCACACTTTACCCCAATTTGTTACAAAATTACCATTTGAACCCTAAATTTCAAAAAGTTGTTACACTTTTACCCTTTAAACCAATAATAACCCACAAAATACAAAAGAGACAAAGACCTAATAATGAAATTGAGATGGAGGAAATGAGATGCCAAATTCAACATGTTCAAGCCACTGTTGAACTTCAACAAGCTTTAATAGAACAAACAAAACGTTTGGGTGAAGAATCTGATGAGTAATTCCTCATACAATAGCAATGTTGCTCTGGAAGACAGAAATTTCAAGTAATGATATTATGGTGGAGCTTCCACATTTTGAAGGCAAGTTACAACCTAAAGAATTTGTTGATTGGCTCCAAACTGTAGAAGAAGTGTTCGAATTTAAAGAAATCTATGAAGATCCAAAAGTCAAGATAGTCGCAATTATTCTAAAAAGCATGCTTCCACAAGGTGGAGAACCTAAAGAAGTATGGGAGAAGATGCGATGTGCACATAAATGTAAGTTCTTACTTGAGCATTAGTATCAAGATAAAAAGAAGGTCCATGAGCACTAATGTCCTGAAGGATGAAAAATGTGATTTAAGAATGACAAATTCAGTTCGAATTTGACAGAAACCAAACAAAAGGATAAGAATACAAAAATTATAGTGTTTAAGGATCACATAGAATGTTTATTAAGCTTTATGACCACGTACAAGGCCATAACTGGGAGCCAGTAAACTGGATATTTTCTTTCTTATTATGTGTACATCAGTACCAAGGGTTACATAGAGAAGCAAAAGAAAATCGAAATAAATAGTCTTTCTTGACTTGATAAAATAATGAAGATGATTGTACCAGTGAAGATGTAAGAGGCTTCTTATTTGCCAAAACAGCACAACAACCCATATGCATTGCTTGCTTTAGCACCGCAACAGTGTCAAAGCTAGCAGAGCAATCCACAAGCACCAAACCTATAATCAAAAAAATAGCTGTTCAGTGATTTAATGCATGAAGCTGTGAAGGTTCACTCTCATTTCAAATTTATTTTAAAATCCATAACAGTTAGCAAGCAACGCAGTCCACAATAAAAATTCAAGGCTTAAATATGTTGGGGGTATGGGGCGTTGCAGGATACAACAGCAGAAGAGGTTTCATGGGTACTGCCATAACCAGATAATGGTGGTGAATGATTGCTTACATAGATATAAGTTAATGGCTAAGTGGATGTTCTTCTTTGATGCGGATCAGTGCATATATAGCCCACCAAAGATAACTATTAAGTTTGTTCTTGATTCACTCACCGACTACTCTCAGTTCACCATTGAACAGATGCCAATATGTTCAAGGACTAAAATAATCATTTCAAACAATGTAAAGGTTAAAAACTGAAATTTTTTAAAAGAAAGACAAACAAGACAGTGCCCCGGATATACCTGTTTTTCTACCAAGTTGAGATGCAATCTCTAGAATCTTTCCTTCTGACTCCGGATGCCCAAACGCCCGGCATTCCCCTTTAAATAACACACAACAAGTAAATATTCTAAAAACTACAAATTTTCATATCACCATCAAGACAAATTAGGAATAGATATCAACCAAAATCACAAAGTTTTGATAGAGATTCGCCAGCGCTCTTGACCCGGCAAAGTTGTAACAAAACGGTATCGTCCAACCCCTTATGCAGCAAATCATCCGACACCAACAAAGATGTACTATCACCAACTCCTACAACTCTCAAGCACAGTCCCTGCATAAAAACTCCCAAACAAAATAAATAAATTGAAACATCAATCAACTAAACAGAAAGTGCACATTCTGCTATACCCATTCTCAATCAATGTCAAAAAAAAAATCACGGAGCGCAATCACTGGATTCATTTGGCAGAGAAGCAAAAAGCCCGCACAAATAACCCCAGAAAGAAAAAAAGTTCAAAAAACAAATGGGATGTCAGAAACCCAAATAAGATGCCATTTTTCAGCTTAAAGCCATGACATAAAAATAGGAAACTGAAACACAATTTGAAAACATAAGAATCCATCTAAAGGGACATTACCTGTGTGGAGTGAAGAGAACGGCACGAGACAATGTGTTGGAGAAGTTGACGACCAACTCCTCCACAACCCATTAGAATCAGAGGAATATTCTTCATTTTTCCTTTCAATCTTTCAATTTTTTTTAGAAAAAAGTTGTCAGTTGAATTAATTAGGGTTGTGTGTATGATGGAAGAAGTAGTAGCTTAAGTACGAGGGGACTGTGAAATGTGACCCCTGATTCCAATTCTGCAGCATACAACATAGGCGGAAAGTTAGTCATCAATAGGACAACATACGCTGATAGTACTCATCAAATATGTTAGTCATCAATAGGACAACATACGCTGATAGTACTCATCAAATATGACACAGTTCAACATTATAACTCTATTAAGTACATTAGTACATTGTTATATGAAATTCTAATTCGACTAAAAGATAGCATCAATATATAATTTTATTAAATGCATTATATATTAAAGTAACAACGTGAAGAATCCAATCCTAAATAAGTGCTGTACATGCCTCAATAAAAGTCATTCAATATTGATATAAAATGATTGAAGATATTTATTGGTTATTTATTAAATATTATTAGATCCTACACTATAATATATTTTAATGTCATATATCAAAATAATAGGTTGTTAAGCATGTAAAATATTATATTATTGTTATTATTTTAGTAATTTAATATATAAACGAGAAATTATTATATTTATTGATATTTTATTATAATATTAGTTTTTATTAATAAATTTTATAAGGTTTAGAAATCATATAAACACAAATAATATTTCACCAGTAAATATACTCTCAATTCTCTCTTACAGTTATATACATTTAAGCTCATTTGAACATCAAATAATCTTTTGTAAATTAATTTTTTTTATAGATAACAAGCAATTCAATTCCAACTATTAAGAATCTATGTTTCAGATCGCGATAACAACTTATATAATATAAACAACCATAAGTAATTTTAATTTCTTTCAAAGAAGTAATAACTTATTATGTTTACGACAAACAAACTCTAATAAAATTCATAAGTATTTTGAGTTATAAATATATACAAGTTTATGCAATAAAAGAGACTAATATATTAAAAAAATCTTACATTATACTCTACATGTACAATTGAGTATTGTTTCCCATGAAATTTGATATTTCCCTTTAATAACATGTAATTCACTACATAGAATGATAATTCATTGTTTTTTTTTATGTAAGTAAGCTTACAAAATCAATATTTTCAATTCTTACTAATTCTTCTTTAAGAGAATGTTCATTTCTAATCTTTTGGTTATGTTAAATGTGTTCTCTTAATCTTCTCATTTAAGAAGTGTGTATGGGAAGACATTTTGATGATAAAGTGAATGATATAAATCCCCTGAGTAATAAATGAGTAATGTACAATTAGGAATGTTCACTTAGTTAAAATACTTTTAATGGATCTTTTATGAGTGGTATAAGTTAATTATCCAACTTGTCCTATTATAAACACTTAGATTGTGAAATAAACTATTAATATGAATGTGGACGAAAATAAAAGTTATATTTCTTTGGATGAGGTGTCCTTAGCTTCATTTGTATACTAACCCTTAAGCTCAAGGAGTTTTGTTGATGAAAAGCAAGTAAAGGTGGTACAAATTTTCCATTTCTTTGGTCAAGACTTCCTTGGCTTCATCATATACTAAATTGCCAAACTCGAGGGTGTTTTTATGATAAAGACCTTTAAGGTAAGTGTGAAAATATGGCAAATATACAAGAAGAGGAATTGAATTATGTATAAAAAGATTTTGCAAACGTTCACAATTATCATCTGATTATGCACATTCAGACTATATATTTTGACTTGACAAATGATTTGTCAAAGATCTTAGTTTGAAAAGTCTACTTATTAAGTTAGCACATATTTAATAATGTTCATGTTTAATAGATAAGGAAAGAAAAATGAACTCTCTTATTTTTATATTGGTTTGTCTAATAGTGCATAAGAAGTTTTCAATAAACTAATTGAGTTTCACTATTCTAACTTGATAGAATAATTGGTTGGAGAAGGGGTTGAACAGAGTCTTAGACACTTTTACACATAACACTAAATTAGATAATCTAATACCAAATAAATCAAGAACACAAAAGATTTTTATACTAGTTCACCTTAAACCTTAAGCTACATCTACACTACAAGAAAAATGGTCATTACCTATCGATATTTACATATGGATTTTGATCCATAGATAACATAGGTATTACATATGGATTTTACATACAGATATTGAAAAACGAGTTACATACGGATTTTTCCTACCAATGTTTTTGTATGTAAAATTCGTATGTAATGTTGACGTATTTGGGCGAAAATTTTACCTAAGGATATTTTCAGTATGTAAGAGATTAAAATTTGTATATAATCAAAAAAAACATTATCTACTTATATTACATATGAATATTTATAATTAATTATTAAAAAAATTAAAAAATAAAAGTAAAAGTTCTATTTTCATTTTCTCCCTCCATCACATTTTCATTATCCCGCACTCATATATGCGTTCTGCTAACCTCACATTTTCACAGTCTCAATCCCTGTTGCTTAAGTTTGTTCTCACCGTCAGCTTGTTTTTTGTCGTTTGTCCTTGTCGTTGTCTCGCCGTGAGTCCCTCTAGTTGTCACTCGATACCCTGTTGTTGAAGTTATCAAATAAATACTACTTTTCAAGACATTTTCAGTATTATCAAGTCGTATTCAAGAAAGTAGATAGGGTTAAAGTAACCCTGAGTTGTCTCCCAACGAATACATAATTATTTTTCAATATTTGACTCTTCTGAATGTTATGCAATGCTCAAGAATAATAGTTCGAAACTATGCTAATGGAATTAATGTTTGAAAAATGTTTGAGTTTAAGTGAAGAACGAGTATAAAACTTATAAACAATTATAACGAAATAGGCTAATTCCACTACTTTTCCAAGATAGATTCATCATTGGTTATCCACAAATCATTGTTCAATTGATTATCGTTCGAGTTTCAAATTAATTAAAGTACATTCTCAATTAACTTGAGGGCGATCATACAATCAACCAAAGTATATTCTCAATCAAATGCAAGACATTTCTAGATTATTCACAACAAAATTCAACCAAAGTACATTCTCAATTAAATGATATTGTGTTTAATCATGTTTATTCTTAAATCTCTGAACCAAATAAAAAGTCAATTAATCAAAGTAAATTATCAATTAATTATAGTTGAAATTCTTACCATCAATCAAAGTACATTCTCAATTAGTAGCAAAAATCCACTTAATCATATGAAAGTTCCTAAATTCAATCAAATTATACTCTCAATCAAACTATACTCTCAATCAAACCTAGAAACTTTTAAACTCATATGATTAATATGCATGTAGATTCAAACACCTTATGATGCAAAAATCATTGCTTTTAATATGATTGAGAGATGAAAGACATAAAAGAAGAATAACTAAAATCAATAATCAAAATAAACAAATTCATTAATTCAACTTAACCTTAGAATCCATAATGAAATTACATTGGAATAACCCTATAAGCTTAAGTGTCCATGAATGGAGTGAAACACATAGTAAAATAAAAGTGAGAGAAGTGGTGGATGATGGCTTCTAGTGGAGGAGTCTGAGAATGAATGAGTTCCCTTTTATGCTTCCCCTATGTCTCTTTATATAGGCTTGATCGAGTTTGGACTTTGAACATTCTGTTGATCAAATATTCACTATTGATATATTTCCATATTAAATCAATTACCTTAAAAATATCAATTGAATTATTACTTAAATTCCATTTTATGTCCTTCATAATTTTCAAAAATTACTGAACAACCCCTCAAAGTTTCTCTAATTTCACTTTAGCCCCTTCTGAATTTCTCCAAAATGCACCAGAGCCCCTAACCAGAATTAATTTGTTTGACCAGTTTTGAATTAAGGAGTGATGCAGCCAACGAGTGTTTGCCACGTCGCAACCCTCATTCTCACCCAAAAATTAGGGTTTCCAACCCCTTGCATTCTCCTGCGCTACAACAACAACTAGTGAAACGGAGTTCTAGGTTTGCAATGGTGCCCATGGAGATTGGTTCTAGTTTTTGTGAGTGCAAGTTTGGTTGGAGATGAAGAAAGGGCTTCGCGATTGACGCAGCCTCGTCCATGACTTTCACAGGTTGCGATTTTGGGTTAGTACGAGGATGACATTGTTCGTGCTTTGGTTCGATGCTTGATGACGGTGAGGTGCGGCACATGGTGGCGATTTTGCCCTCTTACTAGCGACGCGATTTAAGGTTTGTTGTGGTTGACGGCTAGGCCGCCATGGTGATGGTCCATTGCGAGAATGGTTGTTGAGGGAGGAGAACTCGCAGTTTTGCGATTTGATCCGAAAAGGGTTTTGTTATGGGTTTTGTCTTGTAGGGTTTCTGTGGAGGCTTCAATGGTGTTTGGATAATCATTGATACGAAGAAGATGATAAAGTGTGTTGTATGTGGCTGCGCGAGGTTGATAGAGGTGTGTCGCGGTAGCGCTCACGAGAGATTTAAACTCACTCGCGACAATGGTGGAGTAAGATAGAGCCCTTGCGGTGGTCATGGTGGCGACCTCTTGTGGAGGAGATGGCGATTTAGGGTTTAAGGCGGCAACGATTTGAGGAAGCGCGACATGGTTCATGGCGGCGACGACCTAAGGCGATTCTGGGTGGTTGCAGAACTTACGAAGATGGTGGCTGGCCGTGGAGTGTGGTTGTGGTGGCGCTAGGGTTAGGTTTATGGTTTCTATTTAAAGAAGATGATGATGATGTGACAACTGATGTGAAAGGGGTGATGATGTATCAGTATTTAACTAGTTCATCATGGTTTATTAGGATATGGGACATGTGGCATAATCTGGTTTAGAATAATTTAGGAGGGCATAGGGGAATTCTAGGGTTGTAGGAGAAAAGGCTAGTGTTTGGGCTTACTTGTTGGGCCTGTGTAGAATCTTTATAAAAACAGGGGTGCATTCAGCCCCTTCTCTTGAATAAACTAATTTTAATTTTGGGCATCATTTTTGCATCTTTGGATCAATAAAATTGTAACTTCAGTTGCACAAATAAACGTAAGAATATCCAAAAATAATTTATGCAACTAAAAATCACTTTTTAAGTTCCTTTTATTCCCAAACCCGATGAATCCAACCATTATAAATTCACTTTAAATAAATTATTTAAGGATAAGAATCTCATTAAAATTTTGAATTTTAAAGCATAAATGCGGGCATAAATATACACTCATCACTTGGTCTC